CGCGGCGCCGCCGCTGGCCTGCGCGGCGCTGCGCCTGGCGGCCGCCGACGTGCCGGCGTCGTAGGCGCGGTCGGCCCGGGTGCCCGCTAGTCACGCCTTTGTTTCCGTTGTTTTGTAAATGATTCGTTACCGCAGTCCACGATTGCAGCTAGTACTCGCCGCCCGGACTCGGCTCCGGTCGGCTCGGGTTGACATCCTCGCGGATGTAAAATATGTTGGAGGTGCTATGTATAATGTATATTGTGATGGAGGGAACGGTTTGCCGCTCGACTCGTTGGGACGCGTCAAATTATGTTGTTGTTTGTGTAAATTACTATTATATTAATTGTATTTGTTGTATTTATGAGTTGTATATGTGAGTGATAAACTCGATTTAAATTGAGAGTTATAAACTACTATTTGTATAGTTAACGCGGCGAGCGACTGGCCTCGGTCGCCGCAAGCCGAGCTGTAAAATTGCAAAATGAAAAGAATATTATAAACAGTAAGTAAATAAAGAGTTGGACAATACGCCGCTGTTTTATTGCGTTGTACGTCAGTAGGGACCAGTCGAGGGCTGCAGTAGGCCATGGTAACAGAGACCAGTACAATAACAGGTGAAAGTTTGTATGTTTGTTACGTCACAACAAAACGACTCAAGGGCCCGGGATAAAATTTGGAACAGAGGTACATTATAATCTAAATCACAAGTAAAACGTACATAGCGTATGTATTAACATACACTGGGAACGCGGGCGAACCTGCTGGCAGAAGCTAGTAGTTTATATTTGTATTTTGATTTTCGGTTTTAATATGTACCCGTCGGTCGATGTGAGCCGTAGTCGGAAACGACATTTTCTCATTTTAAGGTTTTAAATAGTGAATATTGAACAAGTTATCATTACTATGAAACATCTTTATATCAAAAAATAAATCCAAAAATATATTGTGATCGGTTATTATGCAACGATGTACTCCGTGCTGTCTCTACGATGTAGCGGAATGGTTCTCGTACGTCGCGGCGAGCTAGCGCTTGGCGACCAGGCCGTAGTAGGCGGCCAGGCCCAGCAGCGGCGCCGCCGTGGGGTCGTCCGGCAGGTCGCCGGCGCTGGCCGCCACGTCCAGGTGCGCGTACGGCACGTCGCCGGCCTCCAGCCCCGCCGCCAGCAGCAAGAAGGCGGCCGGCGCCTGGTGGCCGCGGGGCAGCGCCACGGACGCCGCGCTCTCCGCCTGGTGCAGCTGGTCGCGGCCGCGGCCCGCGTGCGCCGCCAGGTCCTCGCGCCGCAGCACCGACACCTCCACCATGTCGCCCAGGCGCTCGGCGGCGGCGCGGAAGGCGG